ACTTTGGGTAGTTTCAAATTTAGGTTGGATAAATACATGAGTGAGAGGGGTTGGATTTGAGTGGGACTTGCACATCACAGCTTATTTCTTGGGTAGCATTGAAAATTGGGTTGGGCAAATGTTTTGTTAGTGGGATGAATTGTAAAGGACCTGCCTAGTATGGGCCAACAGGACTGTTGCAGTGTTCCTCCTTTCTTATGTTCTTATCATCTCATGAAGTTCAGGGACACCCAACTAGTGATCAAAGAAACTAATTTCTGCAGACGCAAGTGCCTTGAATCTTCACTAATAGCTGTTTCTAATACAATTAAACAAAACAAAGGCAGCTTCACCATCTCTGAAGTCTTAGCAAGAATCCTCCTGAAAACAGTAAACCCTGCCATCACACAGTCTCTCCTGTTAATACTGTGTGATGAATGGTTTTGAAAACCGACAAGTTGAAGAATTGAGACACTTATGCAACACATGAGAATCTTTATTGAAGAAACGTTTCGTCACACAGTGGCTTCATCAGTCCAATACAAAGTAGAAATGGGTAAGGAGAGTAGAAGTTTTGAGGTAATCAGTCCCTCAACCTGGAATCGATGTGTTCAGTCCATCACTCTTGTAGGAAGTGCAGCACAGGGCCAGAGAGGTGGCTTATATACTGCGGTGAGATGAGTCCAAGCAGGAGGAGGCGGGATCACAGTGGGACCTGCCACTAGTGTAAGTAGGTCGTCGTCCAAAGGTTGGGCAAGCGTTGAAGTCTTTGTACCAAGATCCCATGATGTTGCAGTGTCTGACAGATGTGATGAATGGTTTTGAAAACCGACAAGTTGAAGAATTGAGACACTTATGCAACACATGGGAATCTTTATTGAAGAAACGTTTTGCCACACAGTGGCTCCATCAGTCCAATACAAAGTAGAAATGGGTAAGGAGAGTAGAAGTTTTGAGGTAATCAGTCCCTCAACCTGGAATCGATGTGTTCAGTCCATCACTCTTGTAGGAAGTGCAGCACAGGGCCAGAGAGGTGGCTTATATACTGCGGTGTAGATGAGTCCAAGCAGGAGGAGGCGGGGATCACAGTGGGACCTGCCACTAGTGTAAGTAGGTCGTTGTCCAAAGGTTGGGCAAAGCGTTGAAGTCTTTGTACCAAGATCCCATGATGTTGCAGTGTCTGACAGATGTGATGAATGGTTTTGAAAACCGACAAGTTGAAGAATTGAGACACTTATGCAACACATGGGAATCTTTATTGAAGAAACGTTTTGCCACACAGTGGCTTCATCAGTCCAATACAAAGTAGAAATGGGTAAGGAGAGTAGAAGTTTTGAGGTAATCAGTCCCTCAACCTGGAATCGATGTGTTCAGTCCATCACTCTTGTAGGAAGTGCAGCACAGGGCCAGAGAGGTGGCTTATATACTGCGGTGAGATGAGTCCAAGCAGGAGGAGGCGGGATCACAGTGGGACCTGCCACTAGTGTAAGTAGGTCGTCGTCCAAAGGTTGGGCAAGCGTTGAAGTCTTTGTACCAAGATCCCATGATGTTGCAGTGTCTGACAGTTGTGATGAATGGTTTTGAAAACCGACAAGTTGAAGAATTGAGACACTTATGCAACACATGGGAATCTTTATTGAAGAAACGTTTTGCCACACAGTGGCTTCATCAGTCCAATACAAAGTAGAAATGGGTAAGGAGAGTAGAAGTTTTGAGGTAATCAGTCCCTCAACCTGGAATCGATGTGTTCAGTCCATCACTCTTGTAGGAAGTGCAGCACAGGGCCAGAGAGGTGGCTTATATACTGCGGTGAGATGAGTCCAAGCAGGAGGAGGCGGGATCACAGTGGGACCTGCGAAACGTTTCTTCAATAAAGATTCCCATGTGTTGCATAAGTGTCTCAATTCTTCAACTTGTCGGTTTTCAAAACCATTTATCACATCTGTCAGACACTGCAACATCATGGGATCTTGGTACAAAGACTTCAACGCTTGCCCAACCTTTGGACGACGACCTACTTACACTAGTGGCAGGTCCCACTGTGATCCCGCCTCCTCCTGCTTGGACTCATCTCACCGCAGTATATAAGCCACCTCTCTGGCCCTGTGCTGCACTTCCTACAAGAGTGATGGACTGAACACATCGATTCCAGGTTGAGGGACTGATTACCTCAAAACTTCTACTCTCCTTACCCATTTCTACTTTGTATTGGACTGATGAAGCCACTGTGTGGCGAAACGTTTCTTCAATAAAGATTCTCATGTGTTGCATAAGTGTCTCAATTCTTCATCCTGTTAATACTACACAAGCACGTTACAGAGAATGAACACTGAAACAGGCCTTCTCTATCCAGCCTTTTACTCATGTGCAAGTTAATTGTTCTAACATATTGTATTACTACTACTACTACTACTACAACTTATATCACTACTACTACTACTACCACTAGTATTGCACCTTACTCTGAGCCTATATATACCCTCTGTGTCCATGTACTGTTTGTAACGGCTTGACAAAGCCCCTGGAGAGCAAAACGTTGCCACAATAAAATGTCACATTAGTTGCACTTGTGTCCTTTTACTTTACAACATAAGAACACAAGAAAGGAGTAACACAGCCAAGCATGGGCCTGCTGGCCCATGCTCGGCAGGTCCTTCACAAATCCAGCCCACTAACAGAATAAATGCTACCCAAGCAATAAGCTTTAATAATCCTATTTGCTCAGGTGCAAGTCCCACTCAAATCCAACCCCTCTCACTCATGTATTTATCCAAATCCAACCTAAATTTGAAAGTACCCAAGGTTTTAGCTTCGACAGAACCTTGAGTAGCTTTAAAAAGATATTGGACAAACATATGAGTGGGAGGGGATGGGTATGATTGGTGTCATGGGTACATAATATCATTAGAAAGGAGGAACACTGCAGTAGGCCTGTTGGCCCATACTAGGCAGGTCCTTCACAGATACAACCCACTAACAGAATAAACATACCCAAGCAATAAGCGTTGACAATTCTGTTTACTCATCTTGACTGTGTGCTAATGGAGTTACAGGAAGCTGACATCGAAGAAATGCTGAACACTGACAATGATGCACCTGTCGTGCATTCCTTGAATGATGGTGAAATTAGATGAATTGTGATATATAAATAAGCTGTAGAGTTGATATTAGCATCATACCAAAATATTTTGTCATGCTTCCTAAGAGCAGGAATTCCACTGGAACGGATTAATGCCAATTCAATTAATTTAAATGACGAAAATTGACTCAGCATAAGAACAAATCGGGATATGAACGAGGTCACGGAATGGATTAAATTCGTAAGCCGAGGTTCCACTGTACAATGTCAATTTAGAAGTAATATAACTACTAACATAGTGTAACAAGCAAAACTACTTTTTAAAAAATGCACTTCAACTCCATATTGTTTCAGACTACGGAACAATGCTCTTCTCCAGACTGAGGGACTGACCACCTCAAAACTTTAAGGGTGATGGACTGATTACATCGTCTTCAAGTCTCTTCTGCTTCTATCAACTTTTTTGTACTCGACTGAAGAAGAACATCAAAATGGTATACAATACCGACAGGTTGGTAGGTAAGACACATAGGCAACAGTTAGGCAACTTTATTCCGAAACGTTTCGCCTACACAGTAGGCTTCTTCAGTCGAATACAGAAAGTAGGCAGGAACAGTAGAGACGTGAAGACGATGTAATCAGTCCATCTACGACTTCAAGGGTGATGGACTGATTACATCATCTTCACGTCTCTACTGTTCCTGCCTACTTTCTGTATTCGACTGAAGAAGCCTACTGTGTAGGCGAAACATTTCGGAATAAAGTTGCCTATGTGTCTTACCTACCATCGACTGAAGAAGCCTACTGTGTAGGTGAAACGTTTCGAAATAAAGATACCTAACTCCCATCTTGTTCCTCATCCTCATATCTGACATAGACAAGGATGTCAGCCACAGCACCATGTCTTCCTTTGCAGATGACACCTGAATCTGCATGACAGTGTCTTCCATTGCAGACACTGCAAGGCTCCAGGTGGACATCAACCAAATCTTTCAGTGGGCTGCAGAAAACAATATGAAGTTCAACGATGAGAAATTTCAATTACTCAGATATGGTAAACATGAGGAAATTAAATCTTCATCAGAGTACAAAACAAATTCTGGCCACAAAACAGAGCGAAACACCAACGTCAAAGACCTGGGAGTGATCATGTCGGAGGATCTCACCTTCAAGGACCATAACACTGTATCAATCGCATCTGCTAGAAAAATGACAGGATGGATAATGAGAACCTTCAAAACTAGGGAGGCCAAGCCCATGATGACACTCTTCAGGTCACTTGTTCTATCTAGGCTGGAGTATTGCTGCACACTAACAGCACCTTTCAAGGCAGGTGAAATTGCCGACCTAGAAAATGTACAGAGAACTTTCACGGCGCGCATAACAGAGATAAAACACCTCAATTACTGGGAGCGCTTGAGGTTCCTAAACCTGTATTCCCTGGAATGCAGGAGGGAGAGATACATGATTATATACACCTGGAAAATCCTAGAGGGACTAGTACCGAACTTGCACATGAAAATCACTCACTACGAAAGCAAAAGACTTGGCAGACGATGCACCATCCCCCCAATGAAAAGCATGGGTGTCACTAGCACGTTAAGAGACCATACAATAAGTGTCAGGGGCCCGAGACTGTTCAACTGCCTCCCAGCACACATAAGGGGGATTACCAACAGACCCCTGGCAGTCTTCAAGCTGGCACTGGACAAGCACCTAAAGTCAGTTCCTGATCAGCCGGGCTGTGGCTCGTACGTTGGTTTGCGTGCAGCCAGCAGCAACAGCCTGGTTGATCAGGCTCTGATCCACCAGGAGGCCTGGTCACAGACCGGGCCGCGGGGGCGTTGACCCCCGGAACTCTCTCCAGGTAAACTCCAGGTATGTGTCTTACCTAACAACCTGTCGGTATTTTATACCATTTTAATGTTCAAAAAATGCAAACCTTGAGTTTTATATTCTTCCTCTGGGGACCGTGGGAATGCTGTGTGAAGAGGATTGATCCCAGTGATCAGTGAAGCTCCAATCATAGAAGCTTCTATCAATGTGACAGCCACAATAGCATCTTCCACTGACACTTCTGCATGCATCATCAATCTTGCATGACCCTGGCTCAGACGAACTAAACTCTCCAGCAATCTGAAAGGAATGCATAAGGAATAAACTTTTAGTGTTTTGAGCAATATAATTTTTTTTTTAAAATCCCTAATAATAAATCAAGACATTTAAAAATGAGAACCATTAAGGCACAAAAATTTTTTGAGACAACTAAATGGCAAACAATTATTTTCAATGGTTACAAATAAAAGAGCTTGTTCTAAGTAATAGGTGAAAACTGCTGTAGTAGAGTGAATAAATGTGTTCATAATCCATATTGAGGTGAAACTGATGGAAAAAAGGGGCAAAAGGTGAACCATTAACAGGAGCAGAGAAAGATCTACCACACAATAAAAGAAGAAAGTACTGAATAAAAAAAAATCATAATACGTAACTGGAACAATACACAAATAACCCCCACTTGAAAGACAAACTTATGACAACGTTTCAGTCTGACTTGGACCAATAATAAGTCACACATTTCAGTACAACTCAAACCAAAATGTTATCATAAGTTTATCTCTCTTAAGTTGTACAAGAATGGTATACATCACCGGCAAGATGAAATTAGGACACATGTGCAACATCTGGGTATCTTTATTCGCCATCCAGTGGCTTTATCAATACAAATTCCAGGACATAACTTGAAAGATAGTAGGATCTTGATTCTGAGGACACGTACATAACCTTCATGACTACGACAACTACTACTACAACTAACCCATCTCTTTGGGTAGAACCTACTTCCACTGGGGAATCCCGCCTACCAGTGACTATGCCCTCGTCTGCTACCCGTCCCATTTCCACCTGATGTTAGTATATAAGCGTCAGGCGCCTTGCTTCTGCTTCAGAATCTCCACGACTACGGTGCTCTTCGCACCTACTCCTAGGTTGAGGGACTGATTACCTCATCTTCTGTACATAGTTCTACTAACTTCAAGTTATGTCCTGGAATTTGTATTGATAAAGCCACTGGATGGTGAAACGTCTACAATAAAGATACCCAGATGTTGCACATGTGTCTTAATTTCATCTTGTCGGTATTGTATACCATTCTTGTACAACTTGTCAGACACTGCAACATCATGGAATCTTGATTCTGAGAACATGTACATAACCTTCACGACTAGGACAACTACTACTACAACTAACCCATCTCTTTGGGTAGGACCTACTTCCACTGGGGAATCCCGCCTACCAGAGACTATGCCCTCGTCTGCTACCCGTCCCATTTCCACCTGACGTTAGTACAGTGGACCCCCGGTTTACGATATCATTTCATTCCAGAAGTATGTTCAGGTGCCAGTACTGATCGAATTTGTTCCCATAAGGAATAGTGTGAATTAGATTAGTCCATTTCAGACCCCCAAACATACACATACAAACGCACTTACATAAATACACTTACATAATTGGTCGCATTGGGAGCTGATCGTAAACCGGGGGTCCACTGTATATAAGCATCAGGTGCCTTGCTTCTGCTTCAGAATCTCCACGACTACGGTGCTCTTCGCACCTACTCCTAGGTTGAGGGACTGATTACCTCATTTTCTGTACATACTTCTACTATCTTCAAGTTATGTTCTGGAATTTGTATTGATAAAGCCACTGGATGGCAAAATGTCTACAATAAAGATACCCAGATGTTGCACATGTGTCTTAATTTCATCCCTCTTAAGTGCAGGTTGTAGCGTCACTTGGTTACGTTACATGGACGACGTCCTCGTAATAACTCCCAAACGTTTTGATGTACGGAATCTTCAGGCAAGGCTCAACGCAGTTGAACCGGCGATCCAGTTTACACTAGAAGAAGAGTCCAATGACAAGCTACCTTTCCTCAACGTCCTCATTCACAAAGTAGACAATAACCTAAGATTTCAAGTTTATCGGAAACCTACCAATAAAAATAATCTCCCACACTTCTATTCCAGTCAATATACCAAGACCAAAAGAGGCATCATCATCGGGCTTTTTCTAAGAGCATACCGAATTTGTAGTCCTGAGTTTCTTGACAAGGAATGTACATACATTCACCAAACATTCACTGAGTTACATTTTTCCTTCCTTTTCATCAAAGACTGCAAGAAAAGAGCTCTTCAGATCATTAATTCTCCACGCACCAACACCACTCCCAACAAAGTTATAATTCTCCCCAACAGCCAGGTTGCACTTAACGTTTCTAAAGTACTTTCACAAGCTAACACCAGAGTCACCATCGTTTCTAGCACTTCAATAAAGGATCTAACCAGGACAAAATCAAAGCACCACGAACCAGTCAACGCAGGAGTTTACACTATACCCTGTGGAGGCTGTGACAAGATTTACGTAGGTGAAACAGCAAGAAACCTCGACACCCACCTCAATGAACACATTTACGCATGTAGGAACGATAACTTGAACAACGCCTATGTACAACACCGAAATTCCACCAATCATCTCATGAAATTCCAATTAGTGATCAAAGAAACTAATTTCCGCAGACGCAAGTGCTTCGAATCAGCACTGATCGCTGTTTCGAATACAATTAAACAAAACAACGGCAGCTTCACCATCTCTGAAGTCTTAGCAAGAATCCTCCTGAAAACAGTAAACCCTGCCATCACATAGTCTCTCCTGTTATACTACACAAAGCACACTGAAACAGGCTGCCTCTATCCAGTCTATATTTGTCCAACCTATTTTAATGTTACCCAAGTAACAGCTTTTATATCCTTTTACTCATGTACGAATTAATTGCTCTACCTTATTGTATTACTACTACTACTACAACTTTTACCACTACTACTGCTACCACTAGTATTGCACCTCACTCTGAGCCTATATATACCCTCTATGTCCATGTATTGTTTGTAATGGCTTGGTAAAGCTCCTGGAGAGCAAAACGTTGCCACAATAAAATGTCACATTAGTTGCACTTGTGTCCATTTACTTTACATATTGTTGTTAGGTAAGACACACATGCAACAGTTAGGTATCTTTATTTCGAAACGTTTCGCCTACACAGTAGGCTTCTTCAGTCGAGTACAGAAAAGTTGATAGAAGCAGAAGATATTTGAAGACGATGTAATCAGTCCATCACCCTTAAAGTTTTGAGGTGGTCAGTCCCTCAGTCTGGAGAAGAGCATTGTTCCATGGAATGAAACAATATGGAGATGAAGTGACAGAATGGAGCCTTATATAGCGCCAAGAGGTGAGACGTAGGTCACTAGAAGAGGTAAGAACTCAGATGCTGAGAGGTCAGGTCCCTCTCAAATCCAGCCGTTCTCACTAGTAGAGGTTGTCGAAGTTGATTGTAGGTCTGTACCAAAATACCCTTGTGTTGCAGTGTCTGACAGATTGAACATTAAAATGGTATAAAATACCGACAGGTTGTTAGGTAAGACACATATGCAACAGTTAGGTATCTTTTTTTTCGAAACGTTTTTGCCTACACAGTAGGCTTCTTCAGTCGAGTACAGAAAAGTTGATAGAAGCAGAAGATACTTGAAGACGATGTAATCAGTCCATCACCCTTAAAGTTTTGAGGTGGTCAGTCCCTCAGTCTGGAGAAGAGCATTGTTCCATGGAATGAAAACAATATGGAGATGAAGTGACAGAATGGAGGCTTATATAGCGAACGTTTCGAAATAAAGATACCTAACTGTTGCATATGTGTCTTACCTAACAACCTGCCGGTATTTTATACCATTTTAATGTTCACTTTACAAAATTGTCGGTAATTCTACCAACTTTATTACTTACTTTAAATAATATGTAAGATCCATTGTCAAAATAATGTACAGTGGTCCCTCAATAATCGTCCGGCCCGAAGTCGTCCATTTTTGGAAATAGTTCCCGTTATTTCGTCTAAACATTGGCTCGCAAATGGTCCGTTAACTCGCTAATCGTCCTTCGTCCGGGACGGGTACTCACGCTCGAGTGCCTGGGCCTGCCTTCCCAGCCAGTGTGCCATTGTTTACCAGCGAGCGACGGTCCCCTCACATGCTCCTACGAAATATTTCATAATACAGTGGACCCCCGCATAACAATCCACCTCCGATTGCGACCAATTATGTAAGTGTATTTATGTAAGTGCGTTTGTTTCGTGTATGTTTGGGGTTGAAATGGACTAATCTACTTACAATATTCCTTATGGGAAAAAAATTTTGGTCAGTACTGGCACCTGAACATACTTCTGGGTTGAAAAAAAAAAATCGTTAACCGGGGGGGGCCACTGTATTCCATTGATTTTAGTGCTTGCAAGTGCTAAATAAGCTACCACAGCTCCAAAAAAGCTTCTAGTGCCAGCCCTTTGGTAAAGAATGTGAGAAACACATAATTTATGAAAAGTTTGTAGAAAAATACAAAGGTGGGGGTGGTAAAAGTGGGAAACAGTTGTGATAGTGGTTGATGGTGGTAGAAGGTAGTAGTGATGGTGGTAACAGTTGTAAAAAGTGGTAGAAGGTCATAGTGATGGTGGTAGAGGGTTCCTTCTTTAGTGATTCAGCGATTCTACCATCTTCTCCAATGTTGCTGGAGTTATATAGGGCAACAGAAAAACACCCCCGCCTCAGCTACTGCTTTTACCATCATTATGGATGGCTTACACTCAGTGGCCCTTATACACCCAACAACAACACAACACAAAACCTCTTGTGACATACGTAATGACCTTGCATTTATCTACAATTTAACTGCATCTGCCCCTTTTCTGACGAAGAATAAGAGTTTGTCTAAATCCTCCTGAAGTTCCCTAACATCTACGTTTGAATCAATTATCCAACCTATCTTTGTGTCATCGATGAATTTGCTCATATCACTAGTAATTCCTTCATCAAGATCATTGATATATATTATAAACAACAACGGGCCCCAAGACTGATTCCTGTGGAACGCCACTTGTTACTGATCCCCACTTGGATTTAACCCCATTATGGACACTCTCTGCTTCCTATCTGTGAGCCATGATTCGATCCACGAGAGCACCCTTCCCCCAATGCCATGAGCTGCCACTTTCTTTAACAGTCTTTGGTGCAGAACTCTATCACAAGCCTTACTAAAATCTAAGTAAACAATATCAAATTCTTTATCGTGGTCAACAGCCTCAAAAGCTTTACTGAAGAAAGTTAATAAATTAGTTAGACAAGACCGGCCTCTTGTGAATCCATGCTGAGTATCATTAATCAAGCTATGCTTATCGAGATGGCTTCTTATAATCTTAGCTATGATTGACTAGTAATTTGCCTACAATTGAGGTCAGGCTTATTGGGCGGTAATTTGATGGTAACGACTTGTCTCCTGTTTTAAAAATAGGAATTACATTAGCCATCTTCCACATATCAGACACTACACCTGTTTGAAGAGATAAATTAACCCTTTCAGGGTCCAAGGCCCAAATCTGGAGTCACGCACCAGTGTCCAAGAATTTTCAAAAAAAAAATTTGTTATTTTTTCTTATGAAATCGTAGAGAATCTTTTTGTGAAGGTAATAAAACAAAAAGTACGAAATTTGGTGGAAAATTGACGAATTATGCTCTCGCGAATTTTGATGTGTCAGCGATATTTACGAATCGGCGATTTTGCCGACTTTGACTCCCATTTAGGCCAATTTACATTATTCCAATCAACCAAATTCTTAGCTATTTCACTAGTATTACTTCTATTCTATCGATTGAGCACAAGAAATTGCCAAGTCAACTGTTTCAACTACAAAATAAAGTGATCGGAAATTGTTAATTTGGCCAATTTAACACAAAGTTCAAAATATTCCAATTTCAAAATAGGGTCCAGAATGAACAATGTAGGCATTCCTGGCACTAAACTAACATTTCCTCTGTTCATTAGTTATGTTTTGAGGCTTTACAAATAAATTCTATTTTGACTTTTTATTCACATAATGAATTTTTTATTCACACCAAAAAAATAGAAGATTTACTGTTATGCAATACTGTAATAATTGTATAAATATCATCACCATATTTGTGAATGTATATTAGACCCACCAGCTGACGTGTATTAGACGTGAGGTCGTTTGTTTACTCTTGAATATCGGCAAAAATTTAACATTTCTGCTACTTTGAGCTCAGTTTCAAGCCATTTCCAGTGCTAAAACCAATTAAAATCATCTTTTTTTCTATAATATGTCTTCCATTCTATCAAATGAGACCAAGAAATCGCAAATACAACTATAAAAAACATACGAAAAACACTGCAAATTTGCTGTTTTAATCGAAAAATCATGATTTCATTTTTTTTCTCTCATTATACACAGTGTGCTGCAGGATCTGTTTTATGTGGTGCACACATACCACATAGATGTATTCTCTCATATCTAGGCCCAAATGTACCACTCACAGTTCATCAGAGTGAGCTGAGCTCATGGCGTAGATCTACGGTTTGGACCCTGAACGTAAAACCGTAGATCTACGGGACGGACCCTGAAAGGGTTAAAAATATTAGTTAATGGTTCACAGAGTTCCATTTTGCATTCCTTAAGAACCCTTGAAAAAACCTCATCAGGACCCGGTGACTTATTTTGCTTCAGTCTGTCTATCTGCTTCACAACCATTTCACTAGTGACTGTGATGTTACATAATTTATCTTCTTCTGGCCCACTATAAAAATTAATTACTGGAATACTGTTAGTGTCTTCCTGTGTAAAAACCGAGAGAAAATAATTATTTAAAATCGAGCACATTTCATTCTCTTTGTCAGTAAGATGCCCATAGTTATTTTCAAGGGGACCTATCTTATCTCTAACTTTCGTTCTATAGACCTGGAAAAAACTTTTTGGGTTAGTTTTAGAATCCCTAGCAACTTTAATTTCATAGTCCCTTTTAGCTTTTCTTATCCCCTTTTTAATGTCCCTCTTAATGTCAATATACTGATTCATAAGATGACCCTCACCTCTTTTGATAAGCCTATAAATTCCTTTCTTATGCCCTAGTAGATATTTCAGCCTATTATTCATCCATTTTGGGTCATTTCTATTTGATCTAATTTCTTTATACGGGATAAACGTTCTTTGAGGCAGCTGTAAGTGTTCAGAAAACTGTCATATTGATAGCTCTCTTCGTTACCCCAGTCAACAGAATGATAAGTGCTCTCTAAGCCCATGTAATCTGCTAAGCAAAAATCTGGAACTGTTACTGAGTTGTCCCTACTATCATACTTCCATTCAATGCTAAATGTAATTGATTTGTGGTCACTAGCAGAGTAATTGATTTGTGGTCGCTAGCCTTCAGGTTAAATTTACAGCCATTCACTCGACGAAAGACTCATTCATTGTCTGTACTGACGATTATGAAGCCTCAAAGCTGATTGCGACACCTCTATGAAAACCCTCAGAGACCGACAGTTCACCATCTCCCCTTCACCTTTTTGCTGGCGAAACGTTCCATTTTCGTCAAACGGCTGGACAAACTCGTCACTTCTTTATCGACTGAGGATCATTAGCCAGTTGGCCCAGTGGCTAATGTGTTGGTGTGGAGTTTTACGACTCTCTAACCGCGGGTTTCAAGCCCTGCCAGTGGTATGGTTTATTATTATTATTAGAGAATAACTGAGTTGCTGAAACATTTGTTGGTTTTCCATGTGTGTTGCCCTAAGCTATAACTGAATCTGCTGAGTCTCTTGCTTAGAGGAACAAGTGATGTGGCCCCATAGGAATCACCCTAAATGTATAATGATAAAGAATCTAAATGGAAATGAAAAAAATGGAAAATGTGGTGTAATTAATAGACGAATGTGAATGTAAGAGGCCAGTGTAGAAGAAAGTCAGCTCCAAGATGTCAGGAATGCACTAAGGGTGATGGTTATATTGTAACTGAATTACTGATTACAATACAAGGCACATACAGAAGTGCAGAGAATTATTGTACTATATTTCCAATGTACATTATTCATTAATCACAGAGAACATAACACGCTTTACTGTAATCATATAAATATGTTTAGCAATATGCACTGAAGTACAATTAAAATTTTGTGTGGAAAGGCTATTAGAATAAGCAAAAATTAAGACATCTCTTCAATTAATGCTTAAAGAAAAGGACACATGCAGTATAATGCGATCCTTTATTGACACTGCTTCACCCATGCAGTGGGCTATATCAAGTGACAAACAGATCTGATACTGTCACGACGGGTCCAATTATACTGCATTTACATCTCTTTCTCTATCTTGTCAGTATTTTATACCACTTTTCTCTATCAATTATTACTTACCTAATAGTGGTCCTGGCTTGACTGCGTTGGTCAGTCTGCCGCTGAAGTTGATAATAACGTGACAGTATGGCTTTGCTTCAGGCGTCATTACTGGCTGAATGGAGCGTATGTGGCAAAAGTAAGCCTGGAGTCTCTCCATGCTCCAGTCTTCTTGGCTTCCCCCATCTCCACCAAGTGGATCACAACCTTCCAGGATGTAGCTGGACACTATTCTAATAGGCAAATACATATACATGTAGTACAGTAGCTGAAAATTAATTATATTTCCAAGTATGTGTAAGCAAAGTAACATTTATGAAGAGATTCAGGGAAACCGGTCAGCTGGACTTGAGGTGGGAAGTACAGTGCCTGCGCTCTGAAGGAGGGGTGGAGATATGATGCAGTTTTATAACTGCAGTGTAGGCACACCTATGGCAAGACAGTGATGAAGTGAATGATGAGTGTTTCTTCTTTTTCAGGTCACCCTGCCTTGGTGGGAAACGGCTGATATTTTATTAAAAAAAAATTTAAAAGATATGCACTACTAAATAAAAATCATTTTCCTCCTCCTAATCCATGAGTGAAACATATAAGTGAACAGTATTTAGATAAGGCTAAAGAGGTCTTTGTGGCATTTATGGATTTGGAAAAGGTGTATGACAGGGTGGATAGGGGGGCAATGTGGCAGATGTTGCAGGTGTATGGTGTACGAGGTAGGTTACTGAAAGCAGTGAAGAGTTTTTACGAGGATAGTGAGGCTCAAGTTAGAGTATGCAGGAAAGAGGGAAATTATTTCCCAGTAAAAGTAGGCCTTAGACAAGGATGTGTGATGTCACCGTGGTTGTTTAATATATTTATAGATGGGGTTGTAAGAGAAGTAAATGCGAGGGTCTTGGTAAGGCGTGGAGTTAAAAGACAAAGAATCACACATAAGTGGGAGTTGTCACAGTTGCTCTTTGCTGATGACACTGTGCTCTTGGGAGATTCTGAAGAGAAGTTGCAGAGATTGGTGGATGAATTTGGTAGGGTGTGCAAAAGAAGAAAATTAAAAGTGAATACAGGAAAGAGTAAGGTTATGAGGATAACAAAAAGATTAGGTGATGAAAGATTGGATATCAGATTGGAGGGAGAGAGTATGGAGGAGGTGAATGTATTCAGATATTTGGGAGTGGACTGTCAGCGGATGGGTCTATGAAAGATGAGGAGAATCATAGAATTGATGAGGGGAAAAGGGTGAGTGGTGCACTTAGGAGTCTGTGGAGACAAAGAACTTTGTCCTTGGGGCAAAGAGGGGAATGTATGAGAGTATAGTTTTACCAACGCTCTTATATGGGTGTGAAGCATGGGTGATGAATGTTGCAGCGAGGAGAAGGCTGGAGGCAGTGGAGATGTCATATCTGAGGGCAATGTGTGGTGTGAATATAATGCAGAGAATTCGTAGTTTGGAAGTTAGGAGGAGGTGCGGGATTACCAAAACTGTTGTCCAGAGGGCTGAGGAAGGGTTGTTGAGGTGGTTCGGACACGTAGAGAGAATGGAGCGAAACAGAGTGACTTCAAGAGTGTATCAGTCTGTAGTGGAAGGAAGGCGGGGTAGGGGTCGGCCTAGGAAAGGTTGGAGGGAGGGGGTAAAGGAGGTTTTGCGTGCGAGGGGCTTGGACTTCCAGCAGGCATGCCTAAGTGTGTTTGATAGGAGTGAATGGAGACAAATGGTTTTTAATACTTGACGTGCTGTTGGAATGTGAGCAAAGTAACATTTATGAAGGGGTTCAGGGAAACCGGCAGGCCGGACTTGAGTCCTGGAGATGGGAAGTACAGTGCCTGCACTCTGAAGGAGGGGTGTTAATGTTGCAGTTTAAAAACTGTAGTGTAAAGCACCCTTCTGGCAAGACAGTGATGGAGTGAATGATGGTGAAAGTTTTTCTTTTTCGGGCCACCCTGCCTTGGTGGGAATCGGCCAGTGTGATAATAATAATAAAAAAATCCATGAAGAATACTGCAGCAATTATCATATGTCTTATGATGTCATAAACACCACACAATGTCCAGTACAACCACTCATCCAACACTTGTCCAGTACAACCACTCGTCCAACACTCGCTCGGTACAATCACTCTTCCAACACTCGTCCAGTACAACTACTCGTCCAACAATGTATATTTCAAGACTACCACTTTTAGAATTCACTACAAAAACATAAAATAAACATGTATATAAATGAATGTCAGTAAACTTAACCCTTTCAGGGTCCAGAGGCCAAATTTCAAAGTATGCACCAGCGTCAAAGAATCTTCAAAAAATAATTTTGTTATTTTTTCTTGTGAAATGGTAGATAATCTTTTTCTGAAGATAATAAAACAAAAAAGTATGAAATTTGATGGAAAACTGACAAAATTATGCTCTCATGAATTTTGATGTGTCAGCAATATTAATGCATCGGCGATTTTGCCAATGCATAAATATCACTGACATTTTAAGCCAATTACATTATTCAACTCGACCAAATTCTTAGCTATTTCACTAGTATTGCTTCTATTCTATTGATTGAGCACAAGAATTCGCCATTTCAACTGTTTCAACTACAAACTGAAGTGATCGGAAATTGCTAATTTGGCCAATTGAATGCAAAGTTCAAAATTTTTCAATTTCAAAATAGGGTCCAGAATAAAGAATGCAGGCATTCCTGGCACTAAACTAACATTTCCTCTGTTCATTAATGTTTTCAGGCTTTACAAATGAATTCCATTTTGATTTTTTATTCACATAATGAATTTTTATTCAATCATTTACGTGCGAAGCAAATAAGCAAACATATTAAAAGCATTAAATAAAAATTTTTAACCCCTTAACTGTCATTTTTTTACAATAAAGAGGGCAATTTTCTATGTGTAATAAGACCAAAAAAATTTCTAGGGTCAGTACTTACCGAGATATAAGGTCGCAAAGTTGGCACTGGACGCTCATGTGATGGGAACATAGGCACTGCTGCTTGCAGAAATGTTGCATATATGTAAATAATTTTCTTCAATTTTTTTGTAGTTTTCTTAGTTTTTATGGTATGATAATTATGTTTTATACTAGATCTTTTGATTTCAGAGCCAATTGTTGTTTGGACACAAATATTATGTACAGAATTAACAATCATACTCTCACAAAGAGCAAAGTAGCTCCAGCTTCTTGGTTCACCAACATCAAGGCACACTCTTTGAAGAGCAATTCAAATATAGTGATATCATCAATATAATCATGGCTTATCAAACAAACAGTAAACTAATTAGGTCAATACACACACTAAATAACTCAGAAAGAGGCGGTGTAAAAATGGGATATGCAGTATACAGTGGACCCCCGCATAACGATATTAATCCGTTCCTGAGAGCTCACTGTTATGCGAAATTATCGTTATGCAAATGAATTTTCCCCATAAGAAATAATGGAAAGCAAATTAATCCGTGCAAGACACCCCAAAGTATGAAAAAAAACAATTTTACCACATGAAATATTAATTTTAATACACACAAACTGAAAAAGACATGCACAGTTACATGACACTTGCCTTTATTGAAGATCTGGTGATGATTGATGGGATGGGAGGAGGAGAGAGTCTTAGTGTTTAGAAGGGGAATCCCCTTCCATTAAGACTTGAGGTGTCAAGTCCTTTTCCGGGGTTACTTCCCTTCTTCTTTTAATGCCACTAGGACCAGCTTCAGAGTCACTGGACTTCTGTCGCACAACATGTCTGTCCACAGAGGCCTGTACCTCCTGTTCCTTTATGACTTTCCTAAAGTGGTTCACAACATTGTCAGTGTAATAGTCACCAGCACGGCTTGCAATAGCTGTGTTAGGGTGATTGTCATCAAAAAAGGTTTGTACTTTAAGCCACATTGCACACATTTCCTTAATCTTTGAAGTAGGCAACTTCTTCAATTTCTCTCTCCCCTCCTCCAAAGCAGTTTCCTCAGGTGTGGCCTCATGCTGATGAAGATGATCTACAGCTGCATCAGTGGTTAGTTCTTCATTGTCCTCCTCCACCAAACTCTTCCACATCATCCCCACTAACCTCCAACCCCAAGGACTTTCCCAATGCCACAATGGATTCCTCAACTGGCATAGGATTCCCAGGGTTAGCCTCAAACCCTTCAAAATCCCTTTGGTCTAAACATTCTGGCCACAGTTTCTTCCAAGCAGAGTTCAAGGTCCTCTTAGTCACTCCCTCCCAAGCCTTACCTATAAGGTTTACACAATTGAGGATATTAAAGTGCTCACTCCAAAACTCTCTTCGAGTCAATTGAGTTTCTGAGGTCACTACAAAGCACCTTTCAAACAGAGCTTTTGTGTACAGTTTTTTTGAAGTTTGCAATAACCTGCTGGTCCATGGGCCTGCAGGAGAGGAGTGGTATAGGAGGCAAAAACTTCACCTTAATGAAGCTCATGTCCCCACAAAGTCGCTCTGCCACGTCTGTAGGATGACCAGGGCATTGTCTAACCAGGAGGCACTTAAGGTCTAATTTCTTATCAGTTAGGTAATTTTTCACATTGGGGCAAATGCTTGGTGTAACCAGTCATAGAAAAAGTCCCTAGTGACCCTGCCTTACTGTTTGCCCTCCACAGCACACACAAATTAGCCTTGAGGATATTCTTTTGCCTGAACGCTCTGGGAGTTTCAGAGTGATACACTAATAAAGGCTTCACTTTGCAATCACCACTAGCATTGGAACACATGAGAAGAGTAAGCCTGTCTTTCATAGGCTTATGTCCTGGGAGTGCCCTTTCCTCCTGAGTAATGTAGGTCCTGCTTGGCATTTTCTTCCAAAACAGGCCTGTTTCAACACAATTAAACACTTGTTCAGGTTTCAGTCCTTCACTGTCTATGTACTCCTTGAATTCCTGCACATATTTTCAGCTGCTTTGTGGTCCGAACTGGCAGCCTCACCATGCCTTATCACACTATGTATGCCACTACGCTTCTTAAATCTCTCAAACCAACCTTTGCTGGCCTTAAATTCACTCACATCATCACTAGTTGCAGGCATTTTTTTAATTAAATCCTGATGCAACTTCCTAACCTTTTCACTTATGATCACTTGAGAGATGGTATCTCCTGCTATCTGTTTTTCATTTATCCACACCAATAAGAGTCTCTCAACATCTATCACTTGTGATCTCTGTTTTGAAAACAAAGTTGCACCTTTGGCAAGAACAGCTTCCTTGATTGCCGTTTTCTTGGCCACAATAGTAGCGATGGTTGATTGGGGTTTACTATACAACCTGGCCAGCTCGGAGACACGCACTCCACTTTCATACTTAGCAATGATCTCTTTCTTCATCTCTATAGTAATTCTCACCCTTATTCCTGTAGGGTTGGCACTAGAAGCTTTCTTGGAGCCCATGGTCACTTATTTTGCAGATAAAATCACCAAAAACACTAATAATACGAAATGTTCCGATTGTATGCTTGGATGTTTACCGCGGAGGTTGGCTGGTAACAATGCCACCGGCGGAACATGTGAGGCTGGCTCAGGCCGCACTTTAGACGCTTCTCGGACGAATAGCATTGAGGGGATTTTTTAGCGAAAGGGGGAAAAAATCTTGCGATAAATGTATCAGTATGCGGATTTTAATGTTAGTGATGCCAAGGGTATGTGGGGCCACTTACTGTGATTATTGATAATGTTTCTCCCCCGAGTGGGTGTTATCTTTTTATCACAATGTTTTTTACGGTAAGTTCACGGGGTTGGGGAAACACTCCAATAAACGAACATTAAAGTAACCCTTGTTATCAGCCGTAATTCGTTCCAAAGGGCAGCCTAAAACCCAAAAAGGCCGAAAAAACCCAAATAATATTTCCCACAAAAATATGTAAAGACAATTAACCTTCCAAAAAATCCAAAAATATAACAAAAAAAAACATTTTTTGAAGATTAACATAATTTTACAACCAAAACAATGAGAATAAAAAAAATGAAATGAAATGAATAAATAACATTTAAATCACTTTTACTTTATTAAGAGTCTTGTTGGCGTATGTAAAAAGGGGAGGGGGAAAGGGGGGACGAGAGGTTTATTGTTTGGAGACAGACAAAATGCTTAACCCCTTAAACAAACCAAACATAATACTGTATACGTTCTTTCGCGTATGCCCCAAACTTTACAGGGACCCCCCCTTATGATCACTCCCCAAAGTGACCAATTATGTAATGTATTTAAAAAGTGTATTTATATTGGGCCCCCTTTGGGGCTTATTTTGCAGTTGCACTCAATCAATAACCACAAAAAACAATGGATTATAGAGAGAAATGTTTGGATGAATGCATGGAATCTTCTCACTCACCCAGAGACACAGCCAGACTGACTCACAGTGGGTGGATGCATCCAAACGGGCCGCTCTCCGAAATAATGGCCGATAACTGGGATAGAATTTTGTCAAAAAGCGGATGAAAACTGAATTGGCCGATATCCGGAACGGTTGATAAATGAGGGTCCACTGTACTGTATTATGTCAGTACAGGTTGGCCATCACTAATCCAGCAATCAGTAATCCGGCACTAATTTTGGCTAGCATAATTTCAAATTTCCGGGGTCGCCACACCAACCTGCTGCTACTGTTTGGTGGCGCTACTTGCTGCGTAAGCCATTCCAATTTGCTTTTCTCCATTTATTGTTATAACCTGCTCACTTTTAGCCGTAGCCAAGGTTCCAATGAATAAAAGAAAATGTTTCTCATTGTGTAAAGCACATACACTGTACATTGTCCATAAAAGATAAAGTGGCTTTGAAGCCACTGTCAGTCACCATGAGCTGAGCTCACTCAGATAAGCTGTGACCAGTAACTTTGGGCCTACATATGAGAGAAAAGATCTATGTGATAAGTATGCAATACATAAAAAAAACTGCAGCATGCAGTGCATAATGAGCAAAAAACTGTGACCGTGTTTATGGTGTAAACCTGATTTTGCGGTGTAATTTCGTATGGTTGTATTCTCTTTTTTTGGGTCTCATTTCACAAAATGGAAGATATATTACAAAAATTTACATAATCTTGATTGGTTTCACACCGTAAAGTAACTTAAAATTGAGCTCAAAGTAGTGGAAATGTTTGATTTTTTGCCAATGTTCAAGAATAAACAAATGACGTCACCGTCCAATGCATGTCCAACTGGCTGGTCTAATACACAGTCATGAATGGGGTGACATTATTTAAATAATTATTACAATAATGCAGTAGTCTGCATAACAGTAAATCTTCTATTTTTTGTGTGAATAAAAATTCAAAATGGAAAGCAAGCATAATATTAGAGGGGTCTGGAGACATGACTAATGAACAGAGAAAATGTTATTTTAGTGCTAGGAATGTCTGCAATGCTTATTCTGGACCCTATTTTGAAATTGGTATCTTTTGAAATCTGAGTGAAACTGGCCAAATTTCCAATTTCTGGCCACTTTATTGGGTAGTTAAAATAGGTAAGTGGGCAGTTTCTTATACTCAATTGATAAAATACCAGGAATACTAGCAAAATAGCTACAAGTTTGATAGACTGGAGCAATGGAATGGGCCAAAAATAGGGTGTAAAGTGGGTGAAATCGTTGATGCATAAATATCGCCGCTGGGTTTAGTGTATTCTTACCAAACTGCTCTACAATCCAGCAAAATCACTTATCTGGCACCCTACAGGTCCCAATGATGCCAGATTAGTGATGGCCAACCTGTATTTTATATTCTTTCTTTCAAGAGAAAGGTTGAGATAGAGATGACATCTTACTTGTCCCATTCAGGATTCCTGGTGTCAAGAAGAACCAGGATGAGGTCAAAGCGTGAGAGTAGAGGCGAGGCTAGAGCAACATTAACGCTGAGAGATTCTTCAGCATCATAGTGCCCTTTAGGGTTGGTGGCGGCTAAAATGCTGCAGCGAGTGTCTAGCTTGCAAACAATTCCAGCCTGTAAACAAATTTAACTGTAAAATAATAAACAAAGAAAGAGCCAAGTATGTAAAACTGGTTAAAAAAAAATGACTGATAATGCTTACACAGCTGCTTTTATATTTTAAACCTTTGACTGTTGCAACCCCAAATCCTGAAGTGTCTCCTGGTGTCGAAGAATATTAGAAAAAACAAATTATTTTTCCTTATGAAAATGTTAAGATTAATTTTCTAATTGTTTTAAACCACAAAACAAATTTTTGTGATCAGTACTTATGAAGATATAGAGGCATAAAGTTGGCAGAAAATGAGCCACGTATAGGAACAGCCGCAAATGCTACTCACCCAGTAAACTTTGGTTTACTTGCATTCAAAGTTTTCTTGTTTTTCATTATTTTATTTTTTCACATAACTTATGTGCCTGTGAGTCCAAAGTAAGGTGCAATGTACATATATAGACTCGTTGTATACAACACAATAAGCACACAAACATAATTATCAATATATTGTTTACAAAGCTTGTTTACACAAACAATACAAAAAATTGTTTATTACTATTGTTCTATAATATACATATGCATGTACAGTCACTGGACATGTTCCTAGAAGTTCTGCAGCTTGTGGAACTCTTTGAAACATGGTTTCATACACAATGGTGTTTTACACTCCTCACACATAAAACCAGTGTCTGTTTTTTGTGGGCTTTTTTTTTTTGTATGTACACAGACAAAACACCTCGTCTGAGCAGTTTTCTTCATAGTAGAAGTGGATAGTTGTGTTAGGTAGTTATCCTAGGTAAATGTGTCACCATTCCTTCCTACCTACCTACCTTTCTTTCTTTCTTCATTCTTTCCTCCCTTCCTTCTGGTTTCTATAATATATATACACATATATAGTCACTGGACACTTTCATTGTGTTGTGTGTGTGTGTGTGTGTTGACTTCTAAATGTGCTGAGTCAGGGTACAGTAGCTGAGAACTGTGTGATCCGGGTTGGTGCATTAATTAGTTGAGTGTAACTATTTAATCCTAGAATTTGCTTATACCTTTTGCATAGCACGTTATTTTGCTGCTGAAAACAGATATTGAAGTCTCCCAGTATTACTGTCTCGCAATTGTTTTCAAGTCCAGACAATACTCTGGAAAAGCCTTCTAAAAACTGGTCCAGTTGCCCAAAGTCATAGATATTTCTATAGAACTTCATTTTATCTTTCAGCTGAGTACAAGAAACCTCCCATTTACCAATTTGAACTACCCAATATAGTGGTCAGAAATTGGCAATTTGGCCAATTTCACGCAAATTAAAAAAGATGCCAATTTCAAAATAGGGTTCAGAATAAACAAGGTAGACATTCTTGGAACTAAAATAACATATCCTCTGTCCATTAGTCACATCTCTAGGCCCCTCTTATATTACTATTGCTTTCTATTTTGGTTTTTTATTCATACAAAAAAATACATAATTTACTGTTATGCAGACTACTGCATTATTGTAAAAATGGTAAAATAATATCAGTGCACTAGTGAAAAAAATATTAACTCCCCGTTGACGTGTATTGGACATGTGGTGGTTTTGTTTTTGAA